GAAATTTTACAGGTATATGTAAAAACAGTAGCTGAACAAATGTTATTAAGAGACAAAAGGTTGTTAACTTAATAAAAGTTTCCGTAAATTGAGAAAACGTAAAAATTATTGTGACGAAATTTTGTGTACAGATGATGAGCAGAAAGAGTTTTTTTCCCAGCTACGTCATTTATTTGCTACTATTCTTTTATTTTGCTTTCCTACTAACCCTGAATGACTTTGGGAAAATATATTACAGCTTTTTCTGACGACATAATAGATCAATCATGTGATGCTAATAAATATAATATAGTTTTACTTCGTTTAGAATCAATTTTACTCCAAAATGCTGCACGACTTGAGAATTTTCCTAATATGCCTATACCAACTCCATTATCTCGTGACCAGATTCCCTGTAATTGATTAATTGATGAAGAATTACAATATAATGTAGACTACTAGAAAATCGATTTGCCGAAAATTATCCACGTTTAAATATAGAACAACAAACTATATTTGACGCTGTTATCCTTGCTATAGAAAACAACCAACCAGCACTGTTTTTTGTAGATGGCCCTGGAGGCTCAGGTAAGATGTTCCTTTATAGCGTGCTTTTAGATAAAGTCAGATCTTCCCGTCGTATAGCACTTGCAGTAGCTTCTTCAGGAATTGTAGCACTTTTGTTGGATGGAGGATGTACTGCTCATTCACGCTTTAAAATCCCCTTTGAATTAAATGAGGATTCAACTTGTAATATCTCACATGGAAGTGATCTAGCCGCTCTTTTACAACAAACAAGTCTTATTATATGGAATGAAGCTCCTATGGCTAATCGATATGCTCCTGAATCCGTTGATAAGACTCTTAAAGACTTAATAAAAGCTTTGAATCCTGATTTACAATACGAACCTTTTGGAGGAAAAGTCATGGTATTTGGTGGCGATTTTCGTCAAATATTACCCGTTGTCCCAAGAGGAAGAAGAGAAGATATTATTAAGTCCTGTTTATTACGCTCTTATTTGTGGCCCCGTATTAATATACTGAAATTAACCATTAATATGCGTTTACAACAATCTTCAGATGATTTATATTCTAATGAAAACAAAGAATTCACTAATTGGCTTTTACAAATAGGAGAAGATCGTATTGAACGAAATGCAACTAAAAGCAATTACATTAAGCTTCCTGATAACCTTTACATTTCATCCCAAAATTTGCAACAATTAATTGACTTCGTCTATCCTGATCTCACATTAAATGCCACTAATTCGCAATACTTAATTGACCGTGGAATTCTTGCTCCCAAAAATACTGATGTTTCTTTTATTAATTCAACAATTATGAACCTATTCCCTGGTGATGAAATCGATTATTTAAGCGCAGATAGTATCGATGAAACACCAGAATCTAATCTTATTAACCTTTATCCTATTGAATTTTTAAACAGTATTAACGTTAGCGGTTTGCCTCCACATAGGTTAACTTTAAAAATAGGAGCTCCCGTGATACTACTTCACAACATCAATCCTTCATAAGAACTATGTAATGGAACTCGATTAATTTGTTGTGCATTCGCTCCTCATGTTATCGAAGTTCAAATCCTTTCTAGAAAAAATGCTGGATTACGTACTTTTCTTCCTCGAATTTCTCTCACTCCTTCAAATACGAGTTTCCCTTTTTTACTTAAGCGTATTTAATTTCCCATTCAATCTGCATTTACCTTTACTATTAATAAGTCACAAGGGCAAACTTTAAATCATAAAGGAGTTTATTAACCAACTCCAATATTTTCTCATAAGCAACTTTATGTTGCTTGCTCAAGAACAACGTCATATCAAGGTCTCAAATTTTTACTAATAGGTCCACATGCTAATGACGGTTATACTCAAAACGTTGTTTATCCTGAAGTTCTACAATAAGCTATTGATTTCTAACGCATTTATCTATTTAATTTACCTCTCTATTTTAAAGCTATATCTCTTTAATTATTTATTTATATTTACTAACTATACTAACCTTATATTAGATAATTATATAGATGTACTTTTATTTTTAAATTTTAACTTATTATCGAATTTAATATGTAATATATCTATTAATTAATTTAATAAATTTATATCGCCTCTATAAAATACATTAATTCTCTTAGTATTTATAATTATAATTAATGTTTAATTCTTTATATTTATTAAAACTTTTTCTGCTTTACCTCTTCTTTTTTTTCCTATTCTACACTTACTACTCCATTTCCATTACCAAATAAACTTTTATAAATTATCATATGTTAATATTTAGAATTACATCTATATCTGAAATTATATATAAATTTATATAATCTTAAGACGTCAGTGAAGCGACGGGTTACATACTAGTTTTATAGTAAAAATCATCGTGTTATATGAAACTTTTTTTATTTTTTTGTAATACAGAATGTAACAACTCGAGTTGCTAGTAGTTTATCTTTAAAACTTATCGTTTTTCAACCTGAAATGCAATAATATGCAGTAGTTCTAAAAATTAGATGAGAGGTGAATAATTTGAAAGGTCGGAAGGTGGTTCAGCAGTCTAAACAATTGATGAATGAAATACAATGATTCTGTACAATGATTCTGTTCAACTAATCTTTGTTTTTTTTATAAGTAAAATGCAATTTTTTTTGAACTATTATTCTGAACTGCATTCTAACCGTATTTCAATATTTTTTTATGGATTTTATTTTTTATCATCATAGTGATGAATCGCTACTCCCTGATATTTAGTTGTCACATCGCGTGATATCAGGGTTTAATATTCAAACTCCGGCTATGATTAGTAATATAAATTACCTATATATTACTAATCATGATCGGGGTTTGAATATTGAAACCCCGACTTCACGTGATGCGACAATTAAAGTTTCAGGATTTTGATTTGACTTAGACCCAGGGTAGCGATACATCGCTATAGCGATAAATTACAAAGCCCTCTTTTTATTATATTTTATTTAGATATATAGCTTACAATAAGTGATAGTAGAACCGTATAAAAAGTTCGCAGACACGTGACTTTAACCCAAATTACAACTGTTTTAATTATACCGGTATAATAATAAGGGTTGTATAATATCAGGTATAATACAGTATAATATTGTATAACATGATATAAGTACTATTTATTACCCGCTGCAACAGGAATAAGAGGTACATCACCATTCATCTGGAGGCCTGAAGAGCCCCAGATGAACGGGTATCTAATGGGTTATTTCCCCATAGGGGCGAAATAAGGGTATTATTCTTCGTTTTTATATGATGTCATGATGGGCTTTACAACTCATAATCACTAATTTAATCAAATAAAAAAACGGGGTTTTTAGCAATACGAGTTATTTCCTCAGCAACACTTGTTATTTCCCTGGACTTCTGGTGAAATAACAAGCATTGCCGGGGAAATAACACGCATTGCTAAACTCCGTTTGTTTACTGATTGGTGATTATAAGTTGTAAACTCCCATCATGCGATCATATAGAAACGTGAAATAATTACCCGTTATATACCCAGTTTAATATGGCTCGAAAACTTTCAGAAAATTTTGTAAACTCGGATAAAGCAATTTAATTGATTAACTATTGGTATTATACATATACCCGTGTGTATAATACTATTTATTATACTAGTATTATACCAATGGTATAATACGGTATAGGTAAACTTTAAAATCCTAATTACGGCACAACATGAAAACAAAACAAATAGTCGGCTTTTTCAAAAAATCGTCCATAAATCAAAATTTCTATTATAAAATCATCTGTTTCTTAACAAAAAAATATTCTTTGCAAAATTTGCTATATATAAGCCTCTTTTAACCCTAACCTAAATGTTCACCCTTACCATACTGCCCTAACGTTAAGAGTTAATTTTTTAATCAAAAATGCATTTACGATCTACGGTTTAAATTGGCCAATAGAATTTTAGTATATATGGGTAGCGTCAACTAAAACAAGTCTTATGGCATTTTTTGCAACAAAGCAATTTACATAATAATAATGCTGTATACGATTAATCGTAATCTAAAATTAGAATTTGGATATCCGGTTGTCTATCCTTGCTGCAGAGTATTGAACCTAGCTGCCGCACCAATTTTGTCACGGATGATTCTTATTTTGATTGGCTATGAGCGATGATCTCTTGATTTTGATTGGCTAAGAGCGACGATCAATAATTTAGGCCAATGTTACTCAAAATTTTACTAATGAAAC